CTAAGAGATCACGGTGTGTGAATGCATATATATTGAGTGATAACGTATATAACTCTGTCCTCAACTTATATTTGTTTAATTGTTAATTGAATATATTTTACGTTAACTATGTGCTTCGGCGAAGGAAAGATTTGTCATAAGACATATTTTCGTGGTTTACTAAGCTCTGCTGTGGACGTGCTAGGGACGGAAACATCAAACTAATTTCGTATTCGGCCATATATCACGAGATACCATATCTTGCATGGGCTACTTCATTATATATGCGCGAAAGTTGATATATATATATGTGTGTGTATCGTGAACTGTTAACAGGTTATAAATAAACCAATTTGAGTACACGTTCTCTTAAAAAATAGACATATATTAACGCAGTGTTTTTGTGTGCATTTATTTACGCATCACTTGAGGAGACAGCGAGATCCTGGACTATGCATCGAGAGAGCATACGCTAGGGAAGCCAACACATCGCAGCATTTATAAATATCGATAAATGGTAAAAGTCAGACGCTTAGAAAGTCTACGCAAGTAGTTTCGTATGAATAATAAATATGATATGAAATATAAATAAAAAAAAAATAAAAAAAAATAAAATAAAAATAAAATAAATATGTACGAATAACAAAATGGTGAAAGAGGCAGGCGTCTAGAAAGAGGCGCGTAGTTGCGTACATAAATAATGCATAGCCCTAGATGCAAACAACTGCGAGCGGGGATGCAAGCGTAGATGCGGGTAGATCAAATGAAAGATGCGTGATAACGATGAGCCTTTACAATAACTGCGTTTTAGAAGAAACTAGATATAAGTGAAGACGGCAGACGGCACGCATAAACGCACGCGTGAGCGTGTTCTATAACACAGAGGGAGAGAGGGGGAGGGAGAGAGAGAGACAGAAACACACACACACAGAGAAAGTACGAGAGAGAGAGAGAGAGAGAGAGAGAAAGAGAAAGAGAGAGAGAGAGAGAGAGAGAGAGAGCGCGCGTGTGAGAGCGACTAAGAAAGAACAAGATACACACACAGTATCAACGCGCGCGCGTTCGATTAGGGGGAGATTGACGATAGATATAAGCTATAGAGGTGCCACAATACACACATACATCACACACACACACACACACACCACACACACACACGACATACTATACACACACACAGCACACCACATACGCCACGCACACACACACACACAACGGCATCGCACGCACGCAGCGCACACACACGCACGCACCGCACGCACGCCGCACACACACAGCGCGACACACACACGCGCACACATACACGCTGCCGCACACACACACACACCAGCGCACGCAGCACGTCACGCACGCACGCACCGCACGCACGCACGCACGCAACGCACACACACACACACATACAGGAGAAGAGAGAGATGAGAGAGAAGAGAGAGAGAGAGGAGAGAGAGAGACGAGAGATGACGAGAGAGAGAGAGAGAGTCGCGCAAAGGAGAGACAGGCAAAGGGAGGAGAGCAGAGAGGGGGAGGGAGAGAGAGAGAGAGAAAGCGCGTGAGAGATATAGCGAGAGAGAGAGAGACAGCTGAAAAATTGCCGGAAGATTCTTGCCGAGGATGAGTATTAATATAAAAATACTAAATTAATATTAAAATCCTGCTGGTATTATGACAAATACATCGTGTCCGTGCGTGAGTAGGTGCGTACGTGTTTGCGGGATGCATTTATGAAGAATACACAGGCAATATGGCGAGCATTACCTAATACAATTCTATAGATTCTATTCTATATTCGAGATTTCTATACAAATCGTGCGCTATGGTTCGCGTGATGATATCACGTGAATTGTGCGTAGCAAAGAATAATGGTGACGTCACATGTCACAGCGTGTTGCACCGAGACGACATTTTCTGCATACGACTGACACAAAAACACGCACACATACAAATAGCCAGGACGAAAAAGGACAGTTTGCGTGTTTATTTAGGTCGTTATGTTACTCATGCGTCCGTGCTTTCAACCACGTTAGCGTGTTTGAGCGTGAAGCGTGAAGCGTGAAGCTACGCGTCACGCTGCGTGTAGATCTTCACGGATTAAGACAGAATCCGCGTGACCGACCACGTGATATCAATAGGACGAATCACGCGCCTGGCCTGTTGCCGGTGGGCGTGGCCGGCTATCGTGATTGGATGGCTCTCGCCGTGGGAGAAAACTCGAGCAGGTAAACGGCGACTTGTTCATATATGACCTTACGCCACCACGCCACTTCTGCTGTCCACGTCTAACACAGGTGTGGCCCACTGGTTCCTACCCTCGAAAAAACCAACAGGGCGTTTGATTTCTGAAAAAATCAGGACAGTTTACCCGCGGCGCGTTAGATCGGAAGCGCGACCATCATCCAGCCATAAACAAGTAAGCATCATACATATTGGTATACTATTAGGGGTGAATAAAACAATATAAGTGTGGTAATAGTAGATAAATAATAATAGTAATAGAAAATACAAAATATTTTGTTTCGTTCACTCCTGATATAAGTAATTAGCTACAAATAGATGTTACATTGTATCTTATATACTTTGTGTTTTGTAGAGTGACAGGTAGCGAAATTCCAGCATATAATTGTCTACTGTGTAGGGCCTACTGTGTACAAAAGCCAGCTCACGTTTATGAATGAAATGGGTAATAATTAGTATTACGTTACTCCTTGGTCGCAGTACATTTAACATAAAAAAGCGTATTCGATTAATTTGCTTAAAACTGCGTTAATATTACTAGGATAATAAGTATAATAAATAAAAATTCCCCCAAAAATACATATATCTAAGGTATATAAAATATTAAAGCGTTATTATTACTATTATAATAAGCATAATAAATAAAAAATCATATAATAAAATAAATATAGGTAATATAAGGTGTATAAAACTTCTCCATTCACGCCGGATCATTCCATAATTGATATCGGATCTGGGTTGGGTCAGGCTACGTCGGGCAGGTCAGATGACTGTCAATTCTACGGAGTGAACACGAAAACCCGATTAGATTAACTGATTTGGAATCGCACGAGTTGTAATCTCGGCGGCAATCCATTACGCGTACAAGAAACTGATCAGCTGATAGCATTTGACGCTGTCGCGACTTTTTGGGCAGGAGCGGTCACCCTGAAGTTAAAAACATGAGAAACACATTTGTTGCGCTGAACAGGGTGTAGTGTATGCTATCTTATCGGTTCTCCGCGTACAGGTTAGCTGATGGTTGGATCCATAGTCCATACACGATAAAAGGATACGGGTGGGTGTGTACACTGCGCGCGCGCGTGTGTATGTGTGTGTGTGTGTGTGTGTGTGTGTGTGTGTGTGTGTGTGTGTGTGTGTGTGTGTG